TGAACACTGACACTCATCTGGCTGTCTTTCCTACTCTGAGATGTGACATTTTCTTGACGCACTGCGAATGATGTCAAGGTAGAGCAGCGATAGACGTGTCCTTATACCCTGAGAGAAAGAAAAAGAACAACAAAAGTTTTTTTTTTGTTTTTTTTTCCTCTATCCGTATTGCTGGAGTAGTTCAGAAGCACGTCTGTCTGCGGCTTCAAGCTTACCCACAAACCTCTGCCAACATCCCGTCGGCACGACTGAGGCATTACCTTCCTCCCAGAGAGCTGCTAAAAAGCCTATACCATTACTGTGTAAGGACATAAAACTGGACCTGTGCATTACCTCCCGCTCAAGGATGAGGATATCATGCCATGGCTATTTGAGTTCCAGAGATGAAGATGGAGCGGTGGAGGTGATAAATGTGAGGAGGCGGGTAAGAAAAAAAAAGAAGGATGAAACTGAGAATAGAGACAAGGGAAGGAGGTGTGCAGACCTGACAGATGAATCTCCTCTATAAAGCGCAGCTGAATGTGGGAAAAGGTCATCACTTTAGCTCTTCTGCTTCTGTAAAGAGCGACAGGCCTGTCACCTCAGTTCAGGCTTCCACACACCCAGCCTAAACCACCTGGCAATTAAAGGTCATCTCTGCTCCCGGTAACAGCCTATGGAAGAGCCAATGTGGGCATGGACATCTAAATGCTCCTTATCTCATCCACCTTTTTCCAGCTTTGAAAGAAGAGCAAGGAGAAAACAGCTAAAACTAGAGATGCACCAAGTTCTCGGCCGCCGAAAATTATCGGAAGAAATGACATTTTCGTTTTTAAGCTGAGCTGAAAATATGAGCCAGAAAAAAAAGAGTTATGCTGTGCTGCATTGTCCATCATGCTGGTTTCACTTTCCCTTCAGCTGTAGACACTGTGTAGAGGATGCAGAAAGCACTGCGCTATATAAACCATGTGGTGACCAAAGCGCAAGAGCAGTGGGGGATACACACCATGGTCAAATATTCTGCTCTATTCTATGTGTTTAAGCATGAACTAGACATGAATACTGTAAAAGCAAAGTCTAGTAAAAAAAATATCCACTGACAGGGCATTTCAAGGTAACATACTTGCAAAAGCCCTACTGTGCTCTCATGGTAATCAGGGTTCCCACACTTTCATGAACACTAGATTCAAGGACTTTCAAGGAATTTTTAAAGCACCATTAATTTTATATGAAGCATCTTTGTAATTCATATCCCAGCATACGTAGCGTCATGAAAGTCAAAACTGTATGTAACATTTCACTTAATATTTACATTAAATATGTCAGAGTGTCATGATCACCAGCGATCGTAACTCCCTAGATCGCTGGTTTGCACGTAAAATCACTATGGACTACAAAACCGTCATTGCTGGACTACATTTTCATACATACACTCCGCTCACACACACATGCTTCCTCATTCTGACTGATTACACTCGCACCACCGGAGGATTGTCAAAGACTACCTACATTATTTAAGCAGCACACACAACCACTCGCATTGCAGAGTCTTCCTAAAATAGCATGAGTGGATTCGGACATGCCCCTAATGCTTTTGCGTCATGCACTTCAGACTATGCACCTAGATCATTAAAATAGAGCCAAATGTGTCTGAAATTCAAGTACTTTTTAAGAACAGTGGGAACCCTGGGTACTGCTGGAAAGCTGATGAGTAATCTGAATTTTGATTTACAGTACAAAAAAAAAAAAAAAAATTGTACAAAATATTTTCATAGAACATGATCTTCTATACTTATAGTTATTATTTTTTGGCATAATTATAATTCATACAATTGATTGTTGGCTATAAACAAATTTTGTTGTTGTCCTGCGTCACATTTTTATTTTTATTTTTTAAATCAATAACATCTAAGTTAGCTATTGAGCTAACTATTAAAAAGTCTTTCAAAATAAACACATTAATATACTATAATATTAAATAAAATTAGCAATTATTACAAATCAATTTCGGTTTCAGTGTTTCTTCAGTCGCATCCAGAATTTTCAGTTTTCTTTGCTAAAACTCTTCATCTATATGGAAGCAAGGATGCAGATGAACTGAGGAGTAAACTGCTAAATTAAAAGTCCCAATCCCCCCTAGCGGTGTCTACAATAGACGCCAGGCTGTCAGTTGTGAAATGTAGTTGAGGCTTTCACATCCACCTAATTCACAGTGGTGAATAAAAGCCACCAGAGGTTTTGAGGGTTAAAGGCAAAGGGTGGTCTAATGTAAATGAGATCAACTCTTTCATAGACAGCTGAGGTATCTTTAGTTCAGGAAACACATGCCATTTGCAATTACCACGTTTAAAGATGAACAAAAACCACTGAGACAGTCAGGGCGTGAAGTGCTTCCTGAAGGATCATCAATCTTGCCTGTAAGACAAAGGGCAGCGGGAGGGAGGGTGGAACGGCAGGAGTTTTGCCAAGTCCTGTCCCAAAGCAGCTATTATGAGGAGAGTGAACGTGGAGCTTCAACTGGCCTGCTGAATGAGAGCAGACAGAGTATTGTACACCAAGCATTGCCTGGCATCAAAGACGTCTCTCTTTAATGAAGCCTTTCAAATGCGCACAGTCATCTGTAGGCATGACGAATCTCTGAGCAAAGACAAACGGAGGACGTTTTTACAAATGCTATTCAGAAAATTCCCATGAATGTCTGGCTTTAGTCGAAACTGATTTATCTGTTTAGAGCTTTGGGACGTTTCTACAAGTCAAAAGTTCAGATGCGTACACATGCGTGCACACACACACACAAACACACACATGTGTCTTTAAGTAGCAATAAAATAAAATAAAGTAAAAAAAAATAAAATAAATAAAATAAAATAAAATAAAATAAACAAAGACAAACGGAGGACGTTTTTACAAATGCTATTAAGAAAATTCCCATGAATGTCCGGCTTTAGTCGAAACTGATTTATCTGTTTAGAGCTTTGGGATGTTTCTACCAGTCAAAAGTTCACATGCGTACACACGCACGAACAAACACACACACACATTTGACTTTAAGCAGCAATAAACTAAACTAAACTAAACTAAACTAAACTAAACTAAACTAAACTAAACTAAACTAAACTAAACTAAACTAAACTATGATAATAAAATAAAAACAATCAATTAATGAGAGTGCAAATTTCTTAAACATGATACATATTTATAAATGATAAAGAAGAAAACAGGAAGCATATCCTAACTAAATAAACAAAACTATTTTGCCGCATTTATCTTGGCAGCCTTAAAGACAAAAATAAAACTAAATAAAAAAATTAGAATAAATATAGAGAGGGCAAACTTTCTGGACCAAACCATATGCATTTATACATGAAAATTAAGTACTTTAAAAAAATCAGGAATAAAAAAAGCACAACAACAAAAACTAAAATAAAATGCTTTATCACTCTTTATAACAAAAGTGATACCAATATTAACAATCAGTAATTAATTTTTGTGTTGTTATATATACATATACATATATATATATATATAAACAAATAAATAAATAAACATAAATATATATTTACAATTACAATGACTGTAGCAATTACATTATACTTCAGCAATAGCAATAATAAAACACTTCATATATAAAGGATCTCTGTATTTTTTGTAGTTAAATAAAAAAAATAAATAAATAAGGTAACTGGCTACAAACAATTTATATGGGCTGAATTTCAAAATGTAAGTTGAAGGTTACTTAATTTAATCTGTTTGTTTAAATTCAGCCCATATAAATTGTTTGCAACCAGTTACCTTAAAAAATATAGTAAATCCAATGAATATTTTTTTCAATGTACTTTATTAAGAAAAAAAAAAACATTTAAAAATAAGGCGGGGAAAGACCAGGACTGGATTTTGACCAGAATATGTTTGCATTTCTCACATTGCTCTGTGAGCGGATAAAGGTTTCAAATCGGGGATCAAGCTGCATTATGTGAAAATGCCTATGCACACACAACTCACCTGGATTAGTGCTTCACTTAGCCTCTCCTCATCCACCTGCAGCACGATATCCCGAATCTCTTCATAGGGCAGCCGGAATGATCCCAGGAAAATTGCTGTTGGGAGAGAGAAAAAAAAAAAAAACAGAGTCATTTTCTGGCCCTCTAGTTTAGAGTGTTAGAGTTCAACAAGGGCTCTGTCAGAAATGACCACGGGACAGCGTCAATAACCCCTCAGGTGGATGGTAAAACACTGTTAGAGTGTTTGTTCCACTCCGGGGCAATTGGAAGCGAAAGAAAAACACAATTTTCTGGCAACAATAAGAGCAGCTAAAATAGCCTCGGAATTGGGGCGCCATCACAAAATAATGCCTCGACATCTTAAACTTTCACCTGGGATGAAATGCAGAAAAACCGCTGGTGCAATTTACCCAACAGCTGAATCTGATAACCTCCACCCGCTTTTGTGAAAAGAATAGGCTGTAATTATAGCACGTAGCTTATAGCACGCAGTTTAAAGCACATCAGTGGGGGATCCGACATAATTGTACATCTGAAGCAGTCACTGGATTGAGGTTAAAATTACCTTAACGTTCACATAAATTAAAACAGTCAAGAGTTTTCCAGTAGCGTCCGGAAACAATGTTGATCAGAAACCTGGGGAATTATCGCAGTGCTAAAACATTCAAGGGCTTGCTCTTGTTTTATACCCCCTACCGTGAGCTATTTTAGCAAACGTTTGATTGGAATGCATGGCTGAGCAGATATTCTGAAGATGAGACTGTATGTGAGAAGTATTTGCTTATGTCTGATTCCTTCATCCAGGGCTGCACCATATTGGAATAACATGGCATTGCAATGTTTTTTTTTTTTTTCTCTGTGATAACAACCCAAATTCCCAGAGAAGGTAGGCCATTTTGTAAAATGCAATTAAAAATATAAAATAAAAATAAAAACATGAGTTGCTGATTATTTTAAAACTTTATTTAATTGACTAAAGTAAAAATGAGGAGTATGTTAATTATTAAATAATATAAATATTACAAATATAATCAGGCACACTCGCTTTTGTTTTGCGTTGATCAATCATTCATTAACCTGCATTTGTAAGGAGTAAAAAAAAAAACTTCTTCAATGTTTTGAATTTAGATTACAATACCTAGTTTAAGCAGTAGTTGTTAATTACACATACTGAATCTTTAATTATAATACCAACTCAATATTGCAGATGCTGTGAAGTGACTATTGCGAATCATCATTATTGTATCTTTATTTGGCCAGGGAGTCTCTTCTTCCAATGAGACAAGACAGCAGCACATAAAATTTGCATACAGAAATCACAAAGAAACTTGGCAATTTATGCATACACAAATCCTAAAAATAATAAATAATCCATAATCATAAAAACGGTTACAACTGGCCATTAATACTGGCCGTACAAAAAGACATTTAAAAGTATTCATAGTTGGAAATGTAGACAAGTGTATTTTGTAATTTGCTACATTTGTTACATTGATGACACTCAAATACCCTGTCAGAAAAGTCTAGTGGCTGAGAATGAGCTTTTTACAGTGTCTGCTATAATCTTTGTGTTGTTTCGTGTGTTTACATAGATGAATAGGGCCCCTGTGTAAATACACAGTATAGTTACGATCTTATTGCAACATTAGATTATTACGATAACAAGATATATGCCTTCAGTGATTTTCTGAAGATAGATACAAAAAAATTGTACAACTGGAATAACTACAGCAGTCGCGATCGTCTAGATCTCATATGAAGCAAGAGATCGCAATGATATGATGACAAGTGCAGGTGCTGTAGTGCTTTCCCAATTCTTAGGGGTAAATTTTGAAGCCCTTCCCCTTAACCCTCAGTTGTAAAGGCCAAGGGAAAGGGGTAGGGGTACAAAAATAGAATTGGGATTGGGCCAAATGTCTTCATACCTCAGGCTGTAATGTGGTCACCCACTTTCAGATCTCTGTCACACCCCCATACTGAATGTATCCTCAAACCATGATTTTTCCTTCACCGAACTTGACAGATTTTTACCTTCTGCCACTTTTCCAATTAATCAACTACAAATTAAGTTATTATTTGAAGCTCTTACAACTGGGATTGAAGACAAGCCTTTTGTCAGGTAGGGTGTTTACTGTGGATAATCACCATTATGGATTAGGGATAAAAATGTACTCTCAACCAATCTTTTGCAAGCCTTAAAATAATAATAATAATACTAACATAATTTTGATCATAGCTTTTTCATTAACAATAACGCATGCACACATTGCAATATCAATGCTGAAACAATATATTGTGCAGCCCTACAGTCATCACAGTCTGAACTTCATCACCCAATGAATGTGACGGCTCTTCTGCTCTCTGTTGTGCAGGTGAACCTGGTCCAACTTCTGATGAACAGTGATTTAATAAACTATGATTCCCACCAGCTGATTGACTGAGTCTCTGTGAAACTAAGCTCTATTTTCTACAATTCATTAGCTGGCCATCTGTGTGTGACAATATGCCGATTTCTTCAGAGAAAAGAGAGTTCTGTGATTTTTTTTCTTTCTTTTTTGTTCATCGTGAGATGAAGAAAAAGCAAACACGGACACATTTTAAAAGTATGGGACTCATCTGATAAAAACTGGACACAATGCTGGAGATTCTTCTGAAATGCCAAGATAAACAACACTGATTTAAAACCAGCTCATCAGCACAATGGCTATAGGGATATGCTAATGAGGCAGCCATTAGTAGCATGATGAGCCAATCAACCATCAAGAGTATCACACGCCAATACACAAACAAATGGTTAGCCACCGAAATGTGGTGAGTTTAACAACCCCCTGTCAAGAACTTATCATATTTGCTGCAAAAAAAAATGTTATTGGACGACAAATGCTTTCGCCTCATCTGTTGATTCATTAGCATAATTTACACATTCACAGTGAGTGAATTATCCCGACTTTTTTCCTCTAACAAGTTTGCCCATGACAGATGCATCCCATAATTCATTTCCGTACTCATACTCATCAGCCTGGAGGATTTAGTCACATTTTCTATCTTTTTTTTAGCACTCCCTGTACATCCGCCAAATTGCAAGCATTTAAGCAAAGAGAGCACTTCCGTCCCATATATACTGTAAAAAAAACGCCATCTATACTAAACCGCCTCCACACACTGGCATAATTTACAGCAACTCTCACTTTGTTTTAAATGCAATCGGCTACATTTGTGGAGAAAGAATGCTGACGGAGGGCCTACCCCTGGAGCCGGACCAAGGATGGGAACAGAATGCTGGGATTGTTAAGCATGCTAATGGAGCACAGAGCTCTGCTGGGTATCTGTGTGGTAATAGAGGAGCGTGACTTCATGTAGCGGTTGCCTGCTCTGCTCGGTTCCTCCTACATTAAATGCACTCATGAGATTCACAGCCTCTGCGTCTCATCTGGATTATTGTTTCAGCTGGAGCACCAAGCCCCACCCGGGTCCAAAGTAGCAGAACAAATATCCAGCTTCTCTTTACACTCGCAATGCAATGATGTGTGGGTCTGTGTGAGATTGCTCATAGGCCCCCAGGATCGATGAACTCAGCAAGTTTTTTTTTTTTTTTTTTTCCAAACTGGAGTATTTCAAAAACAAAAAAATAAAAGTGTGTGTATTGCCCAGGCTGCTCACAGACTGTAGTCTCAGCATGAGGGGGAGACAGCAATAGATACCCGGAGGTGTGAGTAAGTCTTACTGGCCAAGTAAAGAGCAGAAGTACAGTACATGTTGCACAACTACTCTGGGTCATTCCCACAACCCTGGAACAACCCTGTCTTGTCTGTGATACAGCTTTTAAAATTATATAAATGAAACAATGAAAAATGAAGTAGAAAGTCTACAAAAATAAAATTAAATAAATAAATAAATAAAAATTATATAAAATAAAATAACACAAATTTAAGTTAAATTATTAATTAAAAATCTAGATGAAATAAACAAATAAATAAAAATAATACAAAAATACAAAATAAAATTAAATTATGTGAAATAGCCTTTTAAATAGTTTCTAAAGATGTCTCTCTCTTTCATTTTACTTTCCTGTCCCACCTCCCTTCTTTTTTTCTCTGTGAAAGATGACAGATTTGTGGCTGAAGTGAATGTGTAACATCACTCCCACTCGTATGCTGGCATTACTTACTCTAAAGCCTGAAGTGGTGTCTGTGTGTGTGTGTGTGTGTGTGTGTGTGTGTGTGTGTGTGTGTGTGTGTGTGTGTGTGTGTGTGCGCGCGCGCGCATCAAAGGCAGAGTAAGGAACAAGCGGAAATGAGGCAAATAACAGAGAATGAGAATGTGAACATAAGAGAAAGTGAGTGAATGAGGGGAAGAGACAAATGTCACTGGCATCTTTTATGTGAGGGCCATCTCCATCTGCTTCAGCTCTAATTGAACAAGAAAAAGAAAGAAAGAAAGAAAGAAAGAAAGAAAGAAAGAAAGAAAGAAAGAAAGAAAGAAAGAAAGAAAGAAAGAAAGAAAGAAAGAAAGAAAGAAAGAAAGAAAGAAAGAAAGAAAGAAAGACCACACACAATCGCAAAACCTGACATTGACTTGATGTCCTTTAGAATGGCATAGTAAAGTTATTTCATTCACGAAAATGACAAGACCTTTTTGTTGTATTAGACCAGACTGACAAAATCCTCGCTATTAGTATTGCTCATGATGATGTTTAAAAAATTAACAAGTAATCAAAGAAATAAATCATACATAAAGACTAAAATAAAATAATAAAATATAAAATAAATAATATAATTTTAATTTAAATTGATATAATTATACATTTCTATATATTTATAATATAATTTATACATAAAATAATAAAATACAAAAGGATAAAAACAAAACACAACAAACAAAAACAAATCAAAACAAAACTGAACTAGACAAAGCAACCACTACCAAACAATATATATATATATATATATATATATATATATATATATATATATATATATATATATATATATATATATATATATATATATATATATATATATATATATAAAGAATAAAATAAAATACAAAATAACAAAAACAAAACACAACAAAACACAACATAAAACAAAACTAAGCAAAATTAAGCAACACAAAATAAAATTAACAAACAGAAACAAAACAAAACTAAAAAATACATAAAATAATAAAATAAAGAATAAAATGACATAATTAAAAAAAATTATAATAAATAAATTCTGGCAATTACATACAACACCCTAGAACATAACTCAAACTCAAATCCTGGAGGGCCGCAGGTCTGCACATTTTTGCTCCAACCCTTATCAAACACAACTGATTTAATTAATGAAGACGTCAAAAGAGTCTTGAACACTTTCATTAGTTGGATCAGTTGTGTTTGATAAGGGTTGGAGCAAAATGTGCAGAGCTGCGGCCCTCCAGGATTTGAGTTTAAGACATATGCCCTAGAAGCATTACAGAGAATTTTAAGAACATGTGCCATTTGTATCCTGCATCTACAAATGTGCAGTTATATATTCATCATCTATGTTAAAGCAGAATTAGATATAGTGGTTAAAGTACGTTCTTCAACATCAGCTCTGTAGCCAGACTCAATTCGCACATTCAAATTGCATTGATGCATTCAATTGGAATCCAAGTACTTTTCCAGCAAGGATAAAAACAAGCATGGTTAGGACATATACTCAGGTGGCTGGTTATTTTAGCATTTGCTATGAATATTTCATGAAGTGTGATATTGTATATCTAAGGTGTTCTCCTTTCCAAGACAAAGCCAACATTTCTAAAAAAGAATAAAATTGCTTTCTCATGCTGCTTTCATCAATCAGAGTCCAAAGAGTCGCAGACACTCTTGAGAACACAATGAATTCACACACATGCACACGCGCACACACACACACTCCCTGAAGATTCAAGTGGGGGAAAAGAGAGTGGCAGAAAAGAGAGTTGCTAAATGGCATGAGGGTCTGGCAGGCTGATCAATACAGACCACAAAGCCATCCTGTGACATCATCAGGCCTTTTCTGCTGTCTAAAGTAGTTTCAGAACAATCGAGTACAGTGAACTTATTGTCATGTTCAAGAAATAGGTTTGAGATTATTTCGTTATACTGCTGGAAATAGATGGCACAATATGTAAATAATATCTTGTTTTCAGAAATAACAAAACAATAATAAAATAAAATAAAAGAAAATAAAATAAAATAAAATATAATATAACATAATATAATATAATATAATATAATATAACATAATATAATATAATATAATATAATATAATATAATATAATATAATATAATATAATATAATATAATATAATATAATATAATATAATATAATATAATAATTCACATCAAAATTAAGTAAGTTTTTTCCTAAAACAAGCACAGTGGTTCAGTAGTTAGCACTGTCGCCTCACAGCAAGAGGTCAATTGGTTGGAGTTTTAGCTTGTTCAGTTGCCATTTCTGTTTGGAGTTTGCATTTTTTCCCTGTGTAAGTGTGGGTTTCCTCCAGGTGCTCCGGTTTACCCCTCAGTCCAAACACATGCAGTACAGGTAAATTGGATGAACTAAGTGAAGTTTCACAAACTAATTTCGAGAGGAGCACGTGATATGATTGATCGTGGCTGGTCTTTTATCGGAAATCATTAGTAAGCCAATTGGGTAATTTTAAACTCACTATAAATAGCCCGACTAGCATTACTCCCTCATCTCTGTAGTTTGAAGAATACCCCCATCCACCCCATCTCCCCCTTTCCTCTTTTACCATGGGGAGCTCTTGAGAACTACCTGATCTTGTACCACCTTACATGCTCATTGACCAGGCAGGAGCCCTGGGCTCAATTATCTCTGACCTCAGGGTTCTCTCCCAGGACAGCATGCCAATTCACATATAATTTTTAATTAATATATAAGTGTGAAATCTTGAATCTGACCGTACTGTATGAGTGTGTGTGTGAGTGATAGAGTATATTGGTGTTTTCAATTCTAGATTCCTGCTAGGAGATCTGCTGTTTAAACATATCCTGCTTAAATTTGTGGTTCATTCCTCTGTGGCGACCCCTGATAATTCAGGGACTAAGCCAAAGAAAATGAATGAATAATCTTCCAATGGGGTATATGAAATATGACTTATTTATTATTATGATTATTTTGCTTAGCCTACAGGCAAAATATTTAGCTTGTTTTAAGGAAAAAACTTACTTAAATTTGACATTTTATTTCTAAAAATAAGAAAATATGTTTTGCTTGTTTAGGAAATCCTGCTGGATTTAAGAATTTTTTTTATTATTATTATTATTTTTTTGGATATTTGAACTATAAATAAGACAGAAACTCTAGTACGAAAAAAAAGAAAGAATTTGTTTTACAATGTAGTAAGCAGCAAATAATAAGGTAAACTACCATTTAAACTGCACAAAATAAAAACAAATCAAACAAACAAACAAAAAAATGTCCATCTCGTGGCCGAACACAGAAGCCGCTTATAGTGGAAAGCGTGAGTATGTATGTGGTCTGGAGGTATTATAAAGTTGATGACGACAACTCTGCCATCACTCTTCTTTATTCATTTATTTTTAATGTATTATATAAGTATTTGATCAGGTTTCAGTATCAGTAGATACTTCAAATCAAGTGAGTTTGACTTAAGAGCAAAAAACCTGATGGGGACATCTCTAATAGTAAACAAATTATGTGATTATAAATGAGCATGTAAAACCATTTCTGTAGTTTGCCACATACTGTACTTACTTTGTAGATACAGTATTGAAGAACAATTGAACATACTGAATTAATGCCCTCCATGGCAACTTTAATAAATCTCCAAGAATTTCAGGAGACTTTAGTGCATAACAGAATCCTCCAATTTTTTGGTGGGGACTTTTTTTGGTTTTGCCTGTTGCTAGGATGAGGCAGACACAAACAAAATATTTTGTCCTGTTATCCTCCTGTGTGTTTACAGTGATATCAGAGGAATCGGGTAGAATCCATTATCAAAAAAAAAAAAAAACTGCATCCCCAAAAAACCTGTTGCAGGAAGAGCAAATACTAGCGAATTCTGCTTGACAATACAAGAGGATAAGAGGAATTTGAAAGTTGACATGATATGTAGGAACAAGAAAACAAACAAACAGAAGAGAACAGAGGAAAAGTGTCAGTCAAAGTCTGACAACATTGCGGCTATGGATTTAGCAGAGCCAGAGAAGCTTCTTTTTTTCCAATAGTGACTTAGATCTGTCTTCTAGTGTGGAGCAAAAACATACCCAGGACAAAAAAAAAATATAAAATAAAAAAAAAGGCAATTCTTTAAAGACAAACGTAACTTCTTCGGAAGAAAACACACACACACACGCACACAGATCTAGAGGCTTCTGGCTGAGTGTTAGGGGACACAGATGATATGGAATGCTGATAACTTACACAGATTCTGAGCTGTCTTGGCATCCAGAATCCGTAGCTCCTTCGCTTTTTTCTTGAATTGTGTCATCCTGTCATCTGTTTCTTCCACGTCCTTTTTCACTGAAAGCAAAGAGACAGAACCAGAGGGTAAGCATTAATTATCAAAACCAGTAAGTGCATCTGCTCAGCTTTTTTCGAGGATACAGGAAAACGAGTAGACGTGTGGAGACACTCAGGGTTTACCAAATTTCAGACAGCAAGCTTCAACTGAATGTCGGCACAGGCAATGATGGCAGGAAAAGGAACAGGATTTGAACATTCCTTGAATAAAATACCCATGTAAATCTCCAGCACAAACTGAACATATTCTGCGAGAATGTCAGGTGTACTTATTGGATCTTAGCATACTTTTATGTGTGTTCTGAGTGGTTCCTAGGTGCTAACTTAATGGATCAAAATACGAACCCAATTTTTCAGATATTTAACTGTACCTGTTCTGTTGTTTTTGGATTTTGGGATATGCATGTGCTTGAATTATTCCATCTGCTGATTTCAATGATCAAGCTCCTTTAAGCAAGAGTGATTCTAATTGGCTGTGGGCATTTTATTACTCATTGCCTGGTAAATAAATAAATGAATAAATAAATAAATTAGGGAGAATATAATAATAAAACAAAATATATTAAAAAAAAAAAAAAATATATATATATATATATATATATATAAAACAGAGATTGCACATATAAATTAAATGGATGAAAATAGAATGAACAGATATCACAGGATATTTTATAACTCATTGTTTGGGGAATAAATAAATACATAAATAAATTAATGAAATTAAGAAGATTACAATAATAAAACAATAAAATAATAAAATTAAAGAATACATAAAATAAAATAACAAATTAAATTAAATTAAATTAAATTAAATTAAATTAAATTAAATTAAATTAAATTAAATAAGAGATTGCACATAGAAAATAGATGGATGAAAATAGGATGAACATAGATACTCAGGATGTTTTATTAGTCATTGCTTAGGAAATAAATAAATAAATAAATAAATAAATAAATAAATAAATAAATAAATAAATAAATAAATAAATAAACTGCAAAAAAAATAAATTTAATTTAATATAGATTGCACATAGAAAACATGGATGAAAATGGGATAAATATAGATACTCTGGAGGTTTTATTACTCATTGCTTAGTGAATAAATAAATGAATAAATGAATGAATGTTAAACACAATTTTATTCCAATGACACAAATACTCAGTGCAGTTATTATTTTAAATTTATCATAATTGTCTGATTCCCCCCTTTCCTTTGATATCATTGCATACTTCATCCAACCCTAAGTGCTGCCCACTGTAGTAAGCATCACTAATAAAAGTAACAAAACTCAAACAAACGTTTATTTATTTTTATTTTTTTTCGAGATGAACCGCATTGTTATATTCTGGTGCGATCTTGAAATACCCAAAATGCATGACTCCTGTGCTTTGGACCACACTTTTTATGAGCTCCTGCTGTAGCAATAAAAATGACATATGTTCCTCTCTATAAGGTAATTATACATATGGCACCTCTATAACAGATCCAGGGTGGAAAGCATAAGGACAGAGAAACGCTAGATCATGGCAGATGTGTCACGATTACACCAAGACACTGATGCATGTCAGACTTCCTTTTTATAGCACGGCATATAAAAATAAATAATTAAATAATTAAATAATTAAATAATTAAATAATTAAATAATTAAATAAATAAATAAATAAATAAATAAATAAATAAATAAATAAATAAATAAATAAATAAATTAATTAATTAATTAATTAATTAATTAAAAAAAAGGTGAGGAAGGAAGGGAATGAGAAGGTATGAGAAAACGGAAGGGAACAGCACTGATAAAAAATATATATTTCTTGCTTACAGGTTTTTCTTGTTTCTAGTCCAAATATCTAAAAATTCTTAGTTCAAGATGCATTTTCAATAAAAAATAAAAAAATTAATGTTTTGTGTTTAAAAATGATAAATCAAAGTGAAGTTACACTGAAAAAAAACTATTTCTGCAAAATCATTGCAAACAATAAATATGAGCTGAATTTAAACAAATTAAATTCAGCAATGTTCAACTTAATTTGTTTTTTTTTTAAATTCAGCCCAAAGAAATTGTTTAAAACCACTTATATTAAAAACAGTAGTAAACTCGAGGAATCAACTTTAAATCATTTGTTTGTTCAGTTTATCTCAAAACAAGCAAAACAGGGTTCCCACACTAAAAGCCAAATGTCAAATTTCTTGACTTTTAGCTGATTTTCACCGAATAAAAAGCTTAATTTCCATCACTTATGAGCACTGAGCAGACATAAAGGAACATATACAGTATATTTAATCTGATAATCTGTTGAGGACATGGTGCTAAATCCTGAAAAAAAGCTGGACTGGTAGTTAGATTGAATTTCTTTAGCTAAATTTTTAATTCATTTATGCCACCTAACATTGGCAACGCTTAAAAAAAAGAATTATAAAACACTGAAACACATGTACAGATAAAAATACACTTTGATAAATGGAAAACGTAAAAAAAAACACAAACAAACAAAAACAAACTGACATTCTAAGGAACTGGGAATAATAAATAAATGTAATACCCTGACTGAATGTTTGGAACAAACTTTTTTAATTCCATGATACTAGAAATTTCATGACCCGTGGAAACCCTGGCAAAAAATAAATATATAAATAAATAAATGAATGATAATAATAATAATAATAATAATAATAATAATAATAATAATAATAATAATAATAATAATAACAAAATAAATAAATAAATAAAGTCAAGTAAATATGTAAGCAAAATAATCTTGTTTTAGCTTTACTTACCGTATCAATAGCAGCTATTTTAGTTTTTTCTAAGGAAACATTTTCTTAATTTTTACTTAAAGGGAAAGCCGGCCAAAAGTGAGATTTTACTCACAGTATACTCACCCTCAAGTGGTCTCAAACCATTATGACTTGCTTTTTCCTGTTAAACATACAGTTGAAGCCTAAACATTTCTAAACATAATAGTTTGGATAACTAGTTTCTAATAACTGATTCATCATTCGGAAATATAATATATATATATATATATATATATATATATATATATATATATATATATATATATATATATATATATATATATATAATTAAGGGGGGCTAATAATACTGACTTCAACTGTATAACCAGATATTTTGAAAGAAAAACAAACACTATGGAAGTCAATGGTTACAGATTTTCAAATTTTTTTGTTCAACAGAAGAGGAAACTCATAAAGGTTATTATAAGTGAAGAGGGAGTAAATAATGACAGATATCTCTGAAAATCATTTATTTATTTGTTATACATTTGTACTAATACCAAGACAAACAATCAAAGTGAGAAAGCGTTATTTAATTATTTATTTATTGCGGTGAGTCAGGTGAGACAGAAAAACAGCCAGAGAGACAGACATATGAAGATGATGTGCTAAAGAGCCCATCAGTGCATGACTGCAGCGCTGCTCAGTATATTGGAGTGAGATTTTGCGAGCCTGCTATTGACAAACACAGGGTTTGCTCTGTCAACGGCTCAGAGCCATGGAGATAATTGTGTTATTTCTGTAATCCTAAGGAGCAGCAGGCACGGCAGCTTGGAGCGGCCCTGAACCAACATTAATGCAGTACGTGTGTGACTGGTATTCCAGGGACCGGCATCCTTTGAGGCCCGCTTGAAGAGAGAGTGCTTCTCCCTGAGTGACATAATGTGTCAGCATAATCCTCGGCCCAACCATTGTCACAGTCAACTACCAACTAACTAAATTAGTGCGCAATCAGGGCCGTAGCTCTGGGACCCACCGGGTGGAGAGAGAGAGGGGAAGAGATTGTGCATAATACTCAGGTGAAAACAAAGAGAGAAGAAGACTAGGTTTTGGCAGATTGCTTGTGGGAGTAGGAGCGCACCTCAGCACTAATCATCACAACTCTGCTATTTATTTAAGCCCAAGATGGAAGTCTCCGAGGAAATCTCATACAAACAAGACTCTCCCAAGAAATCTGCATATGTGAAGGAGCTATCAAAGCAGGAGCATCTCCTAAGCAGGTGGATTTGCTGCTGGCTACAGGCCCTCTGCTGTAGTTTCAATAGCGCTGTATTAGGGATTGGACGTGATGGTGATTCTACTGGGCATGCTCAGAGAGTTGGATCTTCTCAAAGTTTGATTTATTTATTTGCGATTTTTTTTTTTTTTTTACAGCTAAAAGTGCAGGTGTGCTCAGACGGATTTGATACCAAGTAATTAATTTTGTGTGAGAATCTTAGCACCCTGACAGGTGACAGGACTTGCAGTTCCGAAAAGTAATTAATTATATAACTAATTAAATACATTCCACAAGCAGATCGCAGCACTGTGAATTTGGTGTCTGTTTTTCTTTGCTAGCTTGCTGGTGTGTCAAATGTGTTGACAATAGTTATACTTTTATACACTATTTTTGTGGGCATTTTTTGAACATCATATAAAAATGCTTAATATAAACTTAAATTGTGAAAATGCACAGGCGCAAAACTCAGTAAGATAAACTTTAGATTTGACTTTGTTCATGATCTACAATGGAACCACACTTACAGAATAAATACCCGAATGAGTAAAAAAAAAGGTCACAATTTATTTTGATGGTTCGTTTGTTGAATTTAAGTTGCATTGCATCTACATGCCAACTAATTCTCATTAGATTATAAGTAGACTGCTAGGTCTAGGTTTAGGGTTGGTGTAACTTAAAAAAAAAGTTGCCTGTTAACAGGCTGCCTGTTAAGTTTCGTATTTATTTTAAATTATAACTTACCTATAAAGCTTTAAATAATCTAGCTCCTGTTTATCTAACCAACCTTCTGGCTCGCTACAATCCAACCCGCTCTTTAAGATCTCAAAACTCAGGGCTTCTGGTAGTACCTAGAATAGCAAAATCGAGTAAAGGAGGTCGAGCCTTCTCATTTATGGCTCCTAAACTCTGGAATAGCCTTCCAGAATAGACACACTTTGCAGTTCAAAACTAAAATAAAAAAAGCATAGCACTCAATGAATCAC